TATCTATCTATCTATCTATCTATCTATCTATCTATCTATCTATCTATCTATCTATCTATCTATCTATCTGTATATCTATCTATCTGTCTATCTATCTATCTGTATATCTATCTATCTGTCTATCTGTCCATCCATCTATCCATCCATCTATATAGATATATATAGTGGCAGACAACTTGTATTTTGAAATGAACCTCTTTTACACGTAGATGTAGCCCCACATAAAAATGGAAGTCAGTCTCTTACTTGTCAAGTTATTGCACTCACAACGTGCACGGGTGTACAGAGGGTTGTTTTAATTCCCCCTTGTCGCTCAGTGACGGTGCACAAGAACAAAACAAGCCTCCCTCTGTTCTCCACAATCTAACTCCTGCCCACTTGATTATCTTGCAGCAAAAACATTTAGGTTTACTTCATTCACTGTTCAAACCCCTCGGGACATCGAAGTTACGCTCGTTTCCACAGAATCAGGATAAATCAAGCTGTCAGTCATCTCAAAAGTCTGCTCCACTTTCAGAAGCTACAAAAATTAAAATCCAGCTGTGTCTACTTGGGCAGCTGGATTTGTGTTTGAGTTGTTTAGTTCACACAGTTTCATGCAATAAAATAAAGGTAAAACTTTGGATGTGAGCAGATGTTCAGCAAAGTATCAGTTTCCTGTTTTCCCGGTGGACTCTTCTTTTTAATCAAATCTTTTCTTTATATGTGCAAGCTTTAAAAAAAATCTAACTTATCTGGCAACATTAAACCCTGGAATTATTTGTCTACAATAATTTACAAGTTCATATTTTATTTGCTCCAATCCGAGCCCATAAACACAACAGAGTCGGTTCCATCAGTTTTTAAGTTTTATTTCCAGTTTGAACTCTAAAGTTTTAGCTCCACAAAGTTGTTACATTGGCTGCTTTGGGACAGATGTTTGCAGCAGTGGCAGCTGTGTGTTTGAATTCCTAATTTCAGGAATAAAGAATGTTGCTTTAACAGAATTAAATGTTTTTTTATATATATAAAAGGTAATCTACATCCTGCAGGTACAACTGCAGAGCAGCACATCTGCATGAGAAGCAGCAGCACACTGCAGATGTGAGGTTATTGTTGAATGAGTGCAGCAAAGCGGTGATTTCAGAGCTTTAGATTGAGCAGAAATGGGTCGACGGCTGGTTTGACTCAAGAAGCTCCACAGCTCTGCAGCTACAAGCAGATATCCTGGGAGGGAAAGAAAAAGAGTATGAAAGACAGAGATCCAAACCGGGGCTGAGTTGTTTGAGACAAACCAAGAGAAAAGCAGAATAAAAAATACACCAAGCATCAGTCGAACACACGTACGGAGGCAGAGACGAGGAGATGAAAGAGGAGAAAGTAGTTTCAGAAAATGAAGGAGCAGAGCTCCGACACTGGGGAGGAATCCAAACTCAAAGCAAGAACTCCTGAAGCTGCAGAGAACTGAGCTGCACGAGACAACAGAAACGGAGATGAGGGAGAGACGGTGAGACGGCAGCTCAGACGACAGCCGGGAAGAGAATTCGACTTGACGTTTGCTCAAGGGCTGAAAGTAATAGTCCTCACTCCACCGGTCCTGTTAGCCTATCAGGTCGGAGCACATGGGGGTCCAGGGAGGACTGCCTGAAGAAATCAACCTGAGCCCAACAGAACCTCTGGAAACCAGTAAATCTTTACGCCTGGCTGTTCTCTTGGGATCCAATCAGTTCAATCTGTGTGTGTGTCAGCAGGTAGGTGTGCTTTACCTTTGGAGCTGAACCACAGCATGAATCCACAGCTGCACCTGGTGGCACCAGCAGCACCAGTAGCACCAG